GGAGCAGAGACACCAGCCTCGGCTCAGCTCACACTGGAAGGCTTGGTCTCCAGCGTGTAATCAGCATAACTGCTCCAGTAGATGGGATCAAGTGCCCCCCAGTGCCTGGCACTGGGATCAGGGCACTGGCATAGGTGCAGAAGCTATGCCTGCCTGCCATGGTCATATTCACAGATACCTGCTCTTATTTAGCTTCTGGTCTCAGAGTTAGAAAGGCAGAGCCTCCCTCGATCCCTCTCCCTCTTAGGAAGCAGATCTGGGTTTCTCAGTACAGGGAGAAGCAAGGTGAGTCCAGGACATGTGACCACTTGCTCAGTGGTGCACTCAACATGGCCAAATGGACAGGGACCATGCCAGCCCCTCTGTGGCAGATAGAGGACCCAGGGATTGCAGCAACTCCAGACAGACAGACAGACAGACAGACAGACATGGCTTGCACCTGGCCACCAAGAACAGCAACTTGCCAGGCAGGTGCGTATGCTTCCTCACACCTGATGGCTCTTTTGGTTTTCTCTTCCCCACAGTCTAACAGATCACTGCTGTTATGCCATTCCACCAGTGAGGACATCAAGGCCCACAGGGATTCCACCATTTGCTTAACACACAGTTATTGGGGAAGCTGGGATGAGACCTCAGGACCTGGCACTGCCTAAGTACTTCAAGGTCCTGTCCATGCCACCAAACCCTACACAGGATGGATGCTTCATATGAGTTTTGGGACCATCTGTGCCAGCCCCAGAGAAAGTCCCAAGGGTTTTCATAGGCTCATAAACTGATCAGAAACTAATCATTAAGTGGCATTTTTCCCTGCAGCACCCAGCCCAGTGCATGGTACACAGTGCTCGCTGCTTGCAGGCTATGATCATTGGTCATTATTGTCAGTGCTTCCTGGTCTCTGTGGGACTCTCCTCTGTTACTTTATTTGGTCTTCATGTTCCTTTGGAAGTTGGTAGGGAACCACACCCCCACTTTTTATATCCCCACAAAGGCAGGGCCAGGTTCTTGGTCACAGTGTGGCAGAACAGAGCTCACCTGACTTTTCCCTCTTATTACCCTCACAACTTGGACCCGGACCATGTAGGACAGGGGCCAGGTGGAGCCAGGTCCCTTTAAGAGCCCTCAGGCTGGGACATGGGGAAGGAGTGGCCCCTAAACCCAAGGCCGGCTGGAACTGCATTCTCTGGGGGAGCGAGTGGCCGCCTGGCATTTTCCCTTTGATACTGATACAGGCATTTTAATAGCTTCGACCCATCAGGCGGGTGATGTTTCAGCTCTGGCCATGCAGGGCATTCCAGGAGGCCCTGGCTGCCGGCAAGGGAGAAGCGGGAAGGCTTCTGCTCTCAGGGTAACAGGGAGTCCATGCAGGGGTTAGGAAAGGTTCCCACCCGCTCCTGAGCCATAGCCTGGAGACTTCTAACCTGGGCTCTCAAATTCATGCACCTAAGGGAACCAAGCTGTTGCCTAAGCAGGTGAACCTGGCTGCGGGAAAGACTGCCACTGTGCCATGTGTGAGGGGGCAGCTACCCCGCAGCATCACCTGGCCCACAGCTGCCAACCCTCCCATGGTGCAAGACAGACTGGAAGTCAGAGCTTCATGTGACATCACCTGATTTGTAAACAGCCAGTACTTACTGAGCACCTGCCACATGCTGAGCCATGTTCTAGACACTGGGGACATGGCAGGGAATAAAACAGAACAATGTATCCATGTCCTTGTGGGATTTACCTTGTAATGGTAGGCAGAGGCGCTAAGCAAGATAAATATGTAAAAAATACAAATAAATAAATCAAGGAGGAAACGAATCAGGGAAGGGGCTTGGAAGTGTGGGGATAGGATATAAAAAACAAGGAAGGTGTCATCCAGGTGGACAACTAGGAAAGGCTATCGCAGATACAGATCGCAGATACAGGGGCCAATAAGTGCAAAGGCCCTGAGGCAGAGGAAAGACTGCTAAGTGCAGAGTAGGAAGCTGGGGGGTCACTCTGGCAACTGAGTTGAGACCTAGCTGTAGGGTCATGGGCAGAGACACAGAGGGACCTTTTAGAAGGTTATCAAAGTAACAGCCAGAGAAGATGAGGTTTGGGCCAGGTGGTCCTGGTGGAGGTGGTGAGAAGAAGCAGATGCTGGTTGCATCTGGAAGACAAAGAATATGAGCCGATCATTGAATGGGTGAGCATGAGAGCAAGAGGCACTGATGACTATTCTGAGCACCAGGTGGGATGCAAGTGTCATTCCCTCCCTGTGATGGGCAAGCTGGTGAGAAGCGGGAGTGGAGCCGGGGAGGGGACAGATCAGGAGCTCAGTTTTGCTGTGCTAATTCTGAGATGCTTGTGAGTGGACACATCTGGCGGCCATGAGTGTGTGCACTGGGATTCTTCAGGGGTGTCCAAATTGCCCAAGACCGGGCAGGGTCCTTGAGGGAGCCAGGGCGTAGCAGCAGGAGGTGTGGCCTTGGATGGTGGCCTTGGTGGCCTCCAAGATTTAGGTGTTAGGTAGACAAGAAGGTGCCAGTGAAGAGAACCAAGGGGGCAGCCAAAGTGACAACAGGGGAATGGAGGTAGCTGGCTTCTTGGGAAGCAAGCACTGGGAGTGTTTCCTGGAAAAGAAGCAAGCAAACAGTGCCATGGGACTGTCCCTGTGCCCAGCAACTCGGAGTCTACTGTGTGCCCAAGGGAACGAGCCCTGTACCTTGACAGAAGCCATGTGCAGCCCCCGGTGTAAATGAAACATGTGTAGAGCAATGGTGACCCAGCAGGAAGGCAGGGGACTTGTTGGCCTGTGGTCCCTTTACAGGCATGATGCGGGGATCAGGAGAGCAGGAGGAGTTGGCTTTGGAAGGGAGCACACGTGAGAGGGATGCAAAATGGCACCCAGGGTTACAGATACAGAGGGAAGATTAGGTTGGCAGCGATGACTGTCACCACGCACACTTCTGTTGGCACCTAGCAGAGGGGTGCTGTTGGATGAGCCATGAGCCTGGTGGTCACAACCCAAGGCCAGATTGTTGCAAATATCACTGGCCCATGACTATGGATCATTGACTAGCTCTATCACTTAACAAATCTGTGTCACTTGTGCCCTGGGGAACAGACCCTCAGGTTGTGTGGGAAGGGGTGTGTAAATAGGCTCCTGAAGCCTCTTCCTGGAAAGTGCCCTTCATGAGCTGGGCTCGGACCTGGGCATCAGAGAGCTTCCACTAGACTTTGTCCTGGGGGACCACTGTTTGCCCAGTGGCCACTCTGCCCTGTGTATCCTGGCCTCAGTAGCCAACTGCCTCACAGCTGGGTGCCACCCTCCCCTCTCTAAGTGAGAGATGTTCCCACTCTTCCTGTCTCTGACCTTCAGGCCCCTGCTAACCTCAGAGCCTCCTTCCACCTTGTCCATCCCTGTGTCCTTACCAGGACATCTGTACTCATGTTTCTCCAGCCAGACAGAGTCGACTTGGCCTCACAGGCTTGAAGGCACAGCTTATAGCCACCATATCCTGACTGTGTGGCCTTTTGCAAGTCACTCAACTTGAGTCTGTTTCCTTGAGCAGCTCATTTTAAGCCTCCCTTAGAATTTGATTGTGACAGACGTGATTCTTGGGATTGAAATACTTTACTCAGTGCGGTAGGGCTGAGTTTGCTCTGAATCTTTCTAAAGCTTCCTGACCTTCCCTCCCCACTACCCAGTTATCAGGTTCATGATATCTCCTATGTGACAATTTTTCTTCTCCTGTGGCCCACCCTGAAGGGCAAAACGGCACAGCACTGAGGAAGCAAACGCCCAGGAAATGCATATGGTGTGCCTGACCTCCCAACCAGCTAGCACTGTCCAGTAGGATGACAGCCTTCAAATATAGCCAGATTTTGCCAGCCAGAGTGCAGGCCCATGTGGCAGGATCTTCCCATTTTTCAAGAGAAACTAGAAATACAAATTTGCATGAGAAACTACCCACAGCAAAATATTGGCAGCAGCCTGCATAACAGTTTTCAAAATCTCTATTGGAATCAGATGAACTGCACTAAGGGCCAATTTGGTTCTGTGGCTGCCAGTTTCTAACTGCTGCGCTGGTGTCAAAGAGCATGGGATCAAACCCTAGCTCCATCCTTTACTTCTCTGAGTCCTGAGCCGGTGGCAGTCTCACTTCTGTGCCCAAGTCCTCGCCTGTAACGAGAGTGTAGTAATGGCTGATGATCACTGAGGGTTTCTAGGGTATGAGATTCATGCTTTGTACATTGACCTTTCTAGTAACCCAAGTGGCTGGGTCCACTGGACCCTGGGCAATGGCCAGGGTCTGAGAGCCACGTGAGCCTGGCAGTCCAGCTGCATACACCCCTGTGATAATCATGCCTACTCACTGTGAGGATGAAGCAGGAATCCCCACACATGACAGTAGGTGTACTGCTCCCAGTGGAGTGGGCACTTGGGACGCTAGCATCTGTGGTCATCCTTCTGTGTGTTGCATGGACTTGTCCACTTGCCACCATGCACATGACACTCCTAGGGAGTAGGGGTATCCTCCCTTCAAATTGGCATGGTGAACTCAAGCTGTCAGGAAGAGGTCTGTTGGTGGTGGAGGGGTGGTGCCAGGGGCTTTCAAGCCTCCATACCTGCCCACCTGCCTGTGCTACCTTCATAATGGATGCCCAAGGAATACCAGGCATTGTCCCTGCCTGGATCCATCAGAAGGGCTGTCCAAGAAGGGAAACAACAGGGGCCAGAGAAAAGCCTGTCACTGTGCACATGAACATGGGGTGCAGAAGGCCACAGTCTGTTTACAGGGCCCTGAGGGTGGTGTTAAGAGCTTGCCCAAGACATTAGACCCTGAGATTACTGCAGTAGGTCTTCTCTGCTTCTTATTAACCAGATGCCTCGTGGCCAGTGGGGGGCCATTAATCACCAGTCTTTGATCCAGGAGCAGCATTCCCCTCCCCTCTCTGCTAGTCTGTAGATGCTTCCCAGGGCTTGGTGTTTACAAGCTCTCGGTGACTCCTCTTTCTGTCTCCTTGCACAGAAATGGCAACTCCACTCTCGGAGGCGCAGGGAGGCCCCGAAGATATCTCCAGGATGTAACTGCCCACCAGGTAAGGAACTCCATGAACCATGAGGTCAGTGTCCCTAGGACAGGCACTGAGTACCGGAAGTCCTTCTTAGTGGTCGTGCTGAATTCATAGACCACCTGAGCCACTGCTTCTCATTTGAAAGATGGAGGAATAATGGTGTCTATGATGATTATGGTCTGTCTACCTGCTAATGGGCCATCCTGTCATCTATTCATCCATCTGTCCATCCATCCATCCAACCACTCATCCACCCACCCACCAGTCATCCATTTAAGCGTGCATTCATTGCCTCTCATCCATTTATCACCTCTTCTATGGGGCTGACACTCTCTGAAACAGGTTGCAAGGTAATCAGCTAAGATGATAGATTTGACTGTGTCTTGAAAAATCACAATGTGTTATGCAGAACCCAAGGGAAGATCAGCTTCATGAGTGGGGACCCTACTTGCCATGTTCACTGGTGTACCTGCAGCTCCTGACGTACACTTGGTGCACAAAGATGTTTGTTACCTGAGTAGACAAGTGCCCTTAATTATTGTGAGGCAACGCACCAGGTGCCTTGGGTGGGGGGTGCCCAATGCATGACATCTAAGCCACTGCCTACACCCACATTCTTACCAGGTACCAGGCAGCCTTGAAAATTGCCAGGTGATAGGGTGGAATGAAGGTAGCCAGTCTAATCTGGGTTCAAATGCTGCTTTTGCCATTTACTTGTGTCGCATGGGCAAATCCCTTACCAACCTTGCCTATTCTAGTATCACTGGCCTGCTCCGTAACTGTGTCTCCGCATGTATTTAGAGCTGTTCAGGGCACTTGCTCTGTGCCAGCTGCCATTCCAAGCACTGAGCTGAAGTACATTGTCTGAAGTTTATACCATTGATACGGGACAGCTCCTGAGAACTTTTCCAGGTAGCTATGAGAATGACAGATGAACAAGATGCCCTGTTCCTTTGAGTAGCTAAATTGAGCTATGTTCCTTTGGACTGGGGAAACAAGCCCCAAAAAACAGGCTGGGAGAGACAAGGTAACACATGAAAGTAATCACAAGGAGATTTGACTCTCTGTCAGTCCGGAGTGTGGCCCCCTTGGCACCCGCTGTCAGGTCCTCCTCTGGCCATAGGAGACAAGCGCCCCTAGGAACCCTTACCCAGGTCCCCAGGCCAGGGAAGGAGGCTAACAGATGCTAAACATATGGGACATGTAGAGACCACCACAGTGGTTAGATGTGATGGGGCTGAGGTGGGAGTCACAGACCAGATGCTCTGCACGGGAGACATGAGGGCGTGAAAGGATTCAGCTGGCTACAGTCAGAAGAAGGTTGTCCAGGTTAATTAAAAGGGTATCCAGAGGCCTGGGAAGCTCCTTCCCTCCCTCCCTCAGAGTCCAGGCAATTGGACCCTGGGGTCTGGGAAAGCTTCCTGTAGAGGAATGCCAAGATTAATGAGATGAGGCGGAGCTGGGGGGCGAGTAACAAGGCCTGAGCAGAGTGACTGCATACATCTGCATCTCTGGGGGCTGCCCACAGTTAAGTGATTGTATCTCATAACTTTTAAGCCATTGCAACTGATGAAGAGCAGGAGATTTGGAGCTGCAGAATATGTTTGAATTCTACATAGATGGCCTTCAGAGAGTTTCTTAACCTCTGTGCCTCAGTTGTCTTGCCTGAAAAGCAGGGATAATAGTCATCATCTTGCAGATATGTGGTGGAGATTCAGTGAGATTCAGTGAGATTCAGACCATCTGCATTGCTAGCACAGTGTCTGATCTACATTAAACACCATCATTACTATTATTTCCTCACCTGGCTCTGGTACGTCAAGGACACCCAGAGATCCTTATCAAACTCTGCATCTGGGTGTTCAGGGCATGGAGAGCGGCATGTTGGTGGCCAAGCTGAAACTTTTCCCCTACCTGATCTGGGAAAGTGTGGCAGCTGTCTGATGGCCTTTGGGGGGCTGGCTGCTGACACAGTGGTGCCCAACCCACAGGGAGAGCCCCTCTCTGTGCCCTAGAAAACTCAATATGAACAGGAGTTCACCACCATAGCTCCGCGTCATAGCAGCTGCTATCACTGTCCTTAAGTGAGTACCCACTGTGGGCCAGTACAGTCCTCAGGACACTGACAAGACAAGAGTGAGAGTCCGCACATCCTGAAATGCTGCCATCCCCGAGTGTGTGAGTAAAATCTCGCTCCCCGCTCCCCTCGCCGTGCAGCTCTGATTCTTGTTGTAGGGTTAGTTTACAAATCATGTTAACCATTTGCAGGACTCATAGGACTGTAAAGTACCATGTGGAAATGCAGAGCATTATTCAACTTGGTAACCCCAGCACTTACTCTCGTGCCCCTTACCTCATAGATGCTCAATGAATGCTCAACAAATTCAGGAATCATTCTTGACGACTCAGTTCTTTCTTGTGATCTCCATCTGCTGTCTGATTACTTTGGATGCCTTGCCTTCTGTCCGACCCCCCGTCTTGCCTAATACTGGAATCGCCACCATAGGATGCAACAAATAAACACACTCTTCCTGCCTATGGTGACTCTTGGGATCAGGATCTACAGTCCCAAACCCAGGCATGCTTTGTTTGTGCCTCTGTGGCCAGCTCTGTGGTGGGTGTGTTCTCCCTTGTAGCAGCGTGGGCCTTTGGTGGTACCCAGCAGGCTTGGGATGAATAATCGTGGGCAGAGAACCTACCTTCTTCCCTTCCTAGTCTGACCTCGCCAGCATGGGACCCTCCCTGTCCTAAAATAGCCTTGGACTGGCTCGGAGCTGGCCGCATCCTGCTTCTGGGCCACAAGTGCTGTTTGCCAGGATAGTGATGGGCTCCCAGGCCAGCCATGGAATGCCAGAGGTCAAGTCCCAGTTGGGAGGGACACTCGGCCAAGAGTTTAGAGGAATAGGTGTGGACCATTTGCAAAGCTGCAGTCTGTCTGGTGGGACAGGAGAAGGGGCTTTGGGAAGAAATGTACATACCGTGGGAAAAAAATATACATACCACGGGACTTCCTGGGCCACTTGAGATGAATACAAAGATCAGGGAAATGCACCCATTCTCAAGCCTAGTTCTAATTAACAAAGGAAGAGCAGGACAATATAGGTTTCAGCTGGCAAGGAAGCAGCTCCTTCAGGCCCACCTCACTGGGACTGGGTGGAGTAGTCAGTGCCACATCCAAGCCGGGGCTGGTGGCCTGAGACGTGGAACCCTGTCACACATAGAAGGAACCCTGGCTAGCTGCGGTGCTGGGCCAATCACCTCACTGCCTGGGCCTCATCTGTAAGGGAAAGAGCAGGCCAGGTTCACATCTTGACTGCCCAGCTGAAACCTTGGCTTCAGCAGCAACAGCAGCAGTAGCAGCAAAGGCAGGTGGGGTCAGCTCTGCCTATTAGTGCCATCTGTCACCAGCCCTCGTGTGGAAGATGCATGGCAGGGAGGGGAGATGTTGCTGGTCAAGCTTGTGGGAGAGGCTGTGAGCAGGCCTGGATTCAGAATGCTGGTGACAGGTGTGTGTCAAGAGCCAGAGAGCCCTGAGGAACTTGGAATCCTAGCAGAGCTTTCCTGAGGAGGTGGCACAGAGGCTGGCCACAAGGAAGCAGGTGAGAGGGTATGCAGTTAGACCTCAGGGTCACCTGCCAGTGTAACAAGGGCCCCCAAATACAGGGACTCAAGCAGGTCTCTCTCACATAATATGACAAAGAGGCATGATCCAGGGCTGAAAAGTGGCCCTGTCACATTCTTCTTAGGGCAGTCATCTCTGGGCCCCTGGCGGTCACTTTGGTTCTCAGCGTCTCCCAGCTAGCAAGATTGAGGAAGAGACTAGGGCAGTATATGCTCAAACCCTCAAGAGCAGAATGTGGCGGGGAGGGGGGAACAGGGGGTGCAGCGGGGGGCGGGGGGAGGATTCCTCACTTCCACTCACACCCCAATGGCCAGCACTCCTCCTTTCCCAGCTCCACGAGAGGCCAAACAATGTCTTTTGCTGGGTGGCCTCATGCCAGAGAGCACTTTGTCACTGTGGGAGGCAGGAGAAGAGGTATCTGGGAATGACTAGCACTCTGCGCAGAGGGCTTTCCAAGGACTGTCAAAGACAAACTTGCGGGACTGGAAACAAGGTAGGAATGTTTGGGGATGACAGGCTGCTTAAGGTATCTGAAGCACAGCACAGCATGGTGACGGGAAATGGCTAAGCAATGGGCAGGGTGGAAAGAGATGTCAAGACTGCAAAGAGGCTGAGGTGTTTAACTCTCTCATTCAATGAGGTCAGTTGGTTTTCACGCTGAGGGTGATTGATTGGCAACGGCCGCCTGGAGGGTTGTGCGGACTCAGCTTCTGAGGCTGCGTTAGACTCAACAGGAAGTGTGGTAATCACTTAATCATGTCTGCCATGGGTGCAGGAGCATGAGCAACAGCACCTGTGCCCTGGCTTTTATCCTCGCAGGATGTAATGTAGCATCAGAGAAGGTTTGGGGGCAGGATGATGGGGCAGATGCCTCAGAGGGCAGAACCACCCCTTCCAGCATCAAAAGTGGTGGTCCTGTGGACAGGGTTCTACTTTCTCATGTGCTTCTGTTCTGTCCAGATTGCAGCAGCTTCTCCAGGCTCGGTGATTTCCCCTCTGTGTTGAGAGCTGCTGCCTGCAATCCTGAGCCCTCTTCTTTGGCCACCTTTGCTCTGTTTTCCCTGGCACCGGATTTGGTCCCCTCAGCCCACCTCAGCCCCATGACGTTGACATGGGCAAAGCCTACGGCTGGGGCCTTGGTCTCGCTTTGGTCTCCTTGTACCTCCCCGTGCTGCCGCAGGGCAAACCCACAGCCACACCCCGTTCTTTGTGGTCCTCCTCATTTCAGACTCAGCTAACCCAGAAAAGGGAGACTTCAGACCACACTGTCCCCTGGTGCCATTAACAAAGAAAAGGATCACAGAGCTGGTGGTTATTTCAGGGAGAACATTTCAACTGAAGAAACACTGTTTTCAGACGCCCTGCTTGACATGCAAATAATTGATGGGTTGCCTCTGACTCATCTGGCTATTCCTTAAAGGAAGTCCCCAAGGGCCACCT